TCTAAGGAACATTTTGCCGGGAAAAAGAACCTAGGAAAGGAAAACACAGACCACTGTCTGCAGGTGCCCCAAAGGCAACACAAAATTTATCCAAGGCCCGCGTATTGGGTACCAGGGTTACTGAAAAATGGCCTGGATGGGAAGGGGGTTTAACACCGCGGATGTCAACTGGTTAATGTGTAGCCCCCATCACCTTTTGTGAGGTGGCTACAAGAAATTTAGTGATTACTGGAGCTGTAGTCAGTCTATCTAAATTATAGTTGGCATTTATCTGGTTAATTCCAGGTGTTCTGGCATTGACTGTATCTACCTGGGTGGAGTATGACTCTGCTGCTGTGTGGGACAACCAATGGAGGACACTGTGAGTGTGTGTAGTCCACTAGCCAATCATTGGGTCTCTTTCAACTAGTGTTGCATTCTGGGACAGGCCTTATATACTCCAGGGAATTGCCACGTGCTCACTCGGGTTCTAGTCGAGCTCCAGCCATGGATTAGTGCAGGTCGGGGTGTTGTCCAGCCTGCCCCCAGGCTAGGCCTGAGGGCGGGGATGCTTAAGTTCGGGAAGTATTTCGCTAGACCTCTGCTGTTATCAGAGGAGGAGGACCAGAGAAGCTGATGACTGCTGGAGGTGCCTGGAGGACCTCAGGAGCAACTCTGATGTCTCTCCTGCTGAAGATCTGTGCTGCAAATTGATCTACACTAAATTACTAAAAGGGGACTGGTGAGTATGGAGTCAGTGTCTGTTCTACCCTGGATGTCTAGGATCACTATACCCTCCTCTCTCCCAGAGTGAATATGTTTAATACAAGTTCTTTAGCATTATACTTTTGGCCTGGATATCAGTTCTGTGAGCACTAGGAGAAGGCAGGTAAATGCTAATGGGGCAGCTGAATACCAAAACCCCTAGTGATGACCCGGGTTATTCTGGCGGCTCCCTCGGGGGTGAGCGATACAAATGCATATCTAAAGCCAAAACATTTTGAAGGGTTAGAACACATGACCACAATTTTTTATGTCTGTCTTTGTCCCCCCTTGAAAGATTCACTTTCTCTATCTGTCCAGAAAAGTAACAGGAACGCCAAAACTCTACGGATCAGAAATAATAGTGGAAATCTCCCAGTGGGGACACCTGTTACAGTGGCAACGGTCTAAGATGGACTCCCCAGTTTCCTCTCATTTCCTGTAACATCTCTGGGACAGGGAGTGAAGAACTCACTTACCAATGGAACACACAATGGGAAAACAAAAATATTAAGAAATTATGATTATTTAAAGAATTCACTACTCTATGCAAAACAAAACAAAAATGTTTTTTTTTTGCAACAACATTTTTTTGCGTTTCAGCAAGAATTACCACTTCTTTCCCATGAGGAGCTCTCTTTCACTTTAGAGTTCCCCCTTCACACCAGGAGACTCCTAAAATCAGAAGCCCCCTTCACATCAGTGTCCTCAGTCCCCCCTTCACATTAGAGTCCTCAGTCACCCTTTATATCAGGGTCCTACCAGCCCAAGATTTTGAGGCACCCCTGAGAAAACCAGAAGGCACCCCTGGGTGCCATGGCACACTGGTTGAGAAAGACTGGCTTTCATGTTGCTATAAGTTATTCTTCACAGAGTGAGCTCTACCCTTGATGTACCAGAGAACTTAGAAGGTATGGCAGAAATGATTAAAGGGGTTATTCACAAAGCTGCCGAGGGCAGCCGTGTGAATAACTGACCCTAAGTGAAGTGAGCCGAACGCTGTTCGGCTATTCACTTGAGGCTTGTATGGCTGATTTCGTACACTGACTGAAATCAGCAGTACATCGGCTTGCTGCGGCTGGGTTCGGGTCATGTTCGGCCGACCAAAAGTGCAGAAGGAGTTCGACTCAGCCGATCCAACATCTGGATCGGCTGAGCCGAACCACCGTCAGGCTACTCGCTGCTATTCGGCCTATTCTCATAGGGGCCGAGCGGCATTCGGCTCGACTATTCTGCTTGGTACCTCTGTGGTCCGGAGCAGAATAGAAAAACAGTTTAAAAAAGTATAGAAAAAAAATAGAAAACAATTAGCAGAGCCGGAGGTGATATGAATGCCGACTCTGCTGAGTTCTCATGATACTGACAGATCAGCGTCCCCTGGTTTCCAAGTAACCAGGGGACGCTGAACTGTCAGTACCATGAGAGCTCAGCAGAGTCGGTTTTCATATCACCTCCGGCTCTGCTAAGCTCTCATTGTAAAGCAGCGGGGAGCGAGCACCCCCCTGAAATCATGGCAGATAGCAGAGGAAGCAGTAGCTTCCGTCAGAATAAAAAAAATCAGCATAGGAATGCGTAGCTAGATTCCTATTGGCTATTTCAATTTGCAATATCCAATAACAAGCTGGCTATTGCACCCGCCCTGTGCTGCTGTCAATCACTAGAAGAGGACCTGATGGAGAACTTCAGGTCCCCTCTGCTGATTGACAGCAGCAGTGGACGGGTGCAATAGCTAGTTTGCTATTGGCTATTGCAAAGTGAAATAGCCAATAAGAATGTAGCTATGCATTCCTATGCAGTTTTTTTTTTCTGACTGACGACGGCCGACGGCTCCGATGTCAGAAGGAAAAAAAAACAGAGCAAGGACAGGTTTACTCTGCTCGACCGAGCAGAGTAAACCTTTCCGGGAGTAAGTGTTTCTCTCCCGGGTGGCCGCGAGCCGCTATCTAATAGTGGGAGACTCCCGGAGCGTGGGAGAGTAATGACAGATCAGCGTTCCTGGTAACCAGGGACGCTGATATGTCTCTGCAAGTGGCTGGAGCCAGCCATGAGATGACGGCTGGCTCCGCCCAGCTGTCAGTAGCAGGCTGTCGGGCAGCCGATGGCCGGCCGTTCGGCCAGCTTCACCTTTCACCTCGGCTCAGTTGAGCCGAGGCATATGCCTTCGGCTCCACTGAGCCGCTCAGCCAACTTCGGGAGCTGTACGGGCTATAGGGAATAGCCCGTACAGCAGCCCTTCGGTTCTACCGAACCGAAGGGGTCCTGGGGCTGAAGCTAACCGAAGGATCAGCTGAAGCTACGGCTAGATCCTTCAGCAGCTTTGTGAACAGACCCCTAAGTGTTGTTTGGTGTAATGTTTCTATTTATGTGAACATAACCAAACAGAAAAATACTCCATATGAATGCCTGTGATTTTGGAATGGGATGTCCAATAAGCTTATACAGGTGAGAGGGTCAGGTGTTCCACAGATGTTGATATATACAGTATAACTGTAATAGAAACCCTTCTTCTAGGCTCAGCAGGTTTGTTTTGTTTTTTTGCAAAAAAAAAAAAATACAACTTGGTACATGAATAATATTGGTACATAAATATCCTCAAGATATTTTGTGTTTGCCCTTTAATAAACTGCATTTTACTTGATTTACCTGGACTACAGTGGAGTGTCCTTGTTACAATATATATATATATATATATATACACACACACACACACACAACACACACCTATCTATCGATCGATCGATAAATAGATAATTTTATTTATTGTTTTATCTTTTTGTCATTTGACTGTATGTAGATTAGATCTATTTGAGTACTGCTTTCCTTTGAGTCCATTAGAATTTTCATTTAGTTGCTAAAGTATGCTTTTAGATGATATATTTTTACCCTCCATTATAATCATCCTTTCACATGAAAGCATACAATTAAACCTTAATACAAGTATAGTGGTTTCAATAACCCGGGTACATTAGTTATTATATTCTCCTCCCACCCAGCTCGCCACCCAGCTTCCCGATTAGCGGGGCAGCCTTCTCCATACTCCCTCGTAACCAAGTGACGAGGAAGCATGGAGCCGGCTTTCTGGCCTATCGGAAGTTGAGCGCCATGTAATGACTCATTGCCCGGCTTCCTGATTGGTGGAGAAGCTGGCTAATCAGGAAGCCAGGCAACAAGTCATTACACTGCCCCCAGCTTCCTGATTGGCTGGGATCATCGGGTAATGAGAGAGCATGAAGCCAGCTTTCTGGCCAATCAGAAAGCCAGGGGGTAATGACTCGCTGTCTGGCTTCCAGATTGGCTAGCTTTCCGACCAATCTGGAAGCTAGGCGGCGAGTCATTACACGTTGCCCGGCTTCCTGATTGCACAGGAAGCATGGAGCCGGCTTCCCGTCCAATCAGGAAGCTGGGCAGCAAGCAATGACTGGCTGCCCGGCTTCCTGATACCGGAAGCTCAGGTATCGGGCTAGGCATCGGAGCATTTGGGCGAGTACGAGAACTCGCCCAAATACTCTGCATCAGTACCGATACCGATACTAGTATCGGTATCGGTGCATCCCCAGCTCTAAAGCTTACACAGGTTGCATTGTGGTGACTATGATGGGTGATAGATGGCCTGTCTTGAAATGGGTCAGAGGGTGAGATAGCTTTGTCACTTTACCCTGAGTGGCTCTTTAACCTCTGACTTTAATTAATACACTTCAAATCCTCCTCCCACTTCCGCAAATGAAGGCAAAGTAAAAGGAGACTAAAACCACACCAACGTTTCCCACTTTTATTGGCAATAATAATTGTCATTCTTTTAGGCGTAGTAAGCAGAAGGCTTCACCGGCAAAGGTGTTTTGACGTGACCTCTTTGTACATTAGATACAAAAGTCGGGTTATAAATATATCACAAAATGTTCTGTAGAAAAAACGGATTTATCAGGTGTTAAAATGTGGTAACACTTCAAATATATACAATAAAATATACAACTTCATAGACCGCCTTCTGATCCTGTACCGGAAGCCACGCCCACTATGAATCGACTACACAGAAATGGAAATTCATCATTAATGTCCGATCACCACTAATCGTTCATTACAGTGATGTCTGGGGATAAAGAAAACATTGTCCGACGAGACAACAAAGAGATCTCGGAGGTCTACAAAGAGTCTGAAATCCACAACAGACAATAGTAGGCATTAAAAACCGGGTGGATTACTTGACACATTCCATGAGATATGTGCACATGGATTAAATTAAATTCTGTCCCTACGTGGAAACGTCTTTCATATTGTAATAACTGCCTGCAGCACACGCTCTGCTTTGAAGAACCGACATGAATACCGGGAGATCGCACTTTGGAAGAAGTAAAGGTTGGACCATCTCATGTGCGTATTCTGTAAGGAAACCATAAAAGTCTAATCATCAGTAGAAGAACACCAATGGCGGTTTTATTTTCCTGGTAGATATACAGGGAAAGGTGATTTTTGTACTAAAGAGGGGTTAAGGCAGCAGATTTTCTTTCAATTCCAAGTTGTAACTTCAGATTACATGTCAAAATCTCCGTCGTATGCCAAGGTGAGCGGCTTCTGTTGAGGAAATGGACTTTTTGGTACTTGCGGCTTTCTGCTGTAAGGTAAAAATCGAGAGAGAAAAACAAGAACTCAGCTTTGTTTACATGACTTGAGTAGGACATGAAGATCTGTTAAAAGTCGCTGAAGTCATCAGCCTGACTAAAGCTGGTATTGAAAAAAGGTCAGGGAAAATGAGAGAGACAAGGGTGCTTACACCCAAGAACCGAAAAAAGGAATATATCGCAGCTGACCAGTACTTAGATATGATGGCTGCATTATTTTCCTTTTTGCAAGCTAAAAACATGCTCTGGCAGTACAGAAAATATCTGTTGATCCTGCCAGAAACTGAGCATGCTTGTAACTTCCTGTATATTGAACTGAAATCTTTAACAATGTTATAAACTTCACCAGTTCTCTTCTGTGGTTTACACAACCCCTCATACCCATGTAATGGAGATGTCAGGAGAGCAGCCTAGGGTGACAACGCTGCTTCTACATACATACAGGTCAGTGTTGTCACCCTATGACAGAAAGTTAATTACTTGGTGAAAATGACGGGAAAAAAATAAACCTAAAAAAAATGTAATCCAACCACCACATCTAAGGACTGGTAAGCTGCAATATATTAATTTTTGGTTCTTAGATACCATTCAAATTTAGAAACTCTACAATCTGAAGTGAGATTTAATGTAAACTGGTATTATTCCCAAAGTTTAAGCTCAGTTCCAGCTTGACATAGAAGGATTACAGCCCCTATCAGGTTTCGATTACCATCGTGTCTTTGTTGTTAGGAGTTTTCCATACATCCTTTCAGGACAGAAATAGAAGGGCTAATATGTTGCACTTGGTTTAATTAATCTATTTGGTTTATAAATAAATATATTTGTCATAAACTGTGAATTTATATATCTATCAAAGTGTAGCACCCGTGGTGATAATTAGATTGTAAAAATATAAAATTATTTGAAAAATATTTATGTGATAAATAATGTAAGTGATACTGAACTCTGTGAGTAATAAACTTAAATCTTTGTGAATAATGAATTATTTGTGTGCGTCTCTTTTCAGTGTTGTAATGAGTGATGTCCAAATAAGGTTTATCACTATGTGTGTTAAGGACACATCACAATAGGGGGTGTGAATATATTCGCAATATAGATCGCAATATATTCACACCCACTATTGTGATGTGTCCTAAACACACATAGTGATAAACCTTATTTGGACATCACTCATTACAACACTGAAAAGAGACGCACACAAATAATTCATTATTCACAAAGATTTACGTTTTTTACTCAGAGTACAGTGTCACGGAAGATTACAATCACCACACTTACATTATTTATCACATAATTATTTATCACATAAATATTTTTCAAATAATTTTATATTATTTTTACAATCTAATTATCACTACGGGTGCTACACTTGGATAAATATATTAATTCACAGTTTATGGCATATATATTTATTTATAAACCAAATAGATTAATTAAACCAAGTGCAACATATTAGCCCTTCTATTTCAGTGTTTAACATACATTGTTGCAGCTGGTGCTTATCATTCACTCCCAGCTAATCTGTTTGAAATCCTTTCAGGACAGGAAGTTATGTGAAATCTTTTCAACAGGGACACTGACATAAACAGAATGTCAGGATGCAGATCTGAGCCCAGGATGACTATTGCATCTGGCAGTAGCTCTCCACCTGATGTCCTGGATAACTCCTGATCTCTTGTGCAATCTTCAGTTAAGCCTAGTTTTCTGCTGAACTCTGAACTCCTCCTCTGAACTTCCTATTTATGCCATGACTCTGCACTTCCTGTTTGCTGCCAAAAAATAATTGTGCTCCTGGCAATATCTTGATTCACCAACTATGCTTATCGCCTTCCACCTTTGGCTACTGACTTGATCATTGACTACGCTTCTGCATGCTCCTATACTACTACCCTCTGCTTTTATACCTAACCCAGCCCGTTATACAATGAATTTGTCTGCTGTTTCAGCTACTGGACTCAGAGCCTTATCCCAGATTGTGATACAAAAACACATTTTTTGTTGTGAGTGAAGAAGGGTTGGAATTTCTGACAAAGTTTTTTTTAATGTCCATTCCCTCCTGTCCAGATGAGAATAGCACCACCCATTTCTTGCACTAGTGTCACAGGGACAAGAAGTGAGGGAAAGTCTACAAAATGGGGTCACCTACAGAAATAGAAATCTGATAGATTGTAACTTGACCTTACTCTAAAATAAACAGCCCCGGAGATGTTACAGAGGTCACGTATCTTCAGTTATCTTCTAGAGATCTTAAGCTGGCCCTATGGCCTGGCTCCTCTTGTCTTCTCCGCATGACTATTGGCAGGTCGTGTTAGGGTATATGCATGACAATATCTAGAATTTTGGCTTTTTGTTCCCTGGAATTCTAGAGCAAATACTTACCAGACCAAGTAAGAGATGATTATCAGGATAATCAGGATAAGAAAACTCCCTGCACACACAACGTAGACCCAAAGACTCACCCGGCCATCTGTAAATAATAAACAAATCCTATCAGTCAGTCAGATGAATGTACTGTGTATCTGGATTTCTACACAAGCTAATGGGTAGGTTCCATAACTTCCAAAAGACAGAAAGATTAATATTGGCCATAGCCATAAGAACCCATTCACAATATGGGGTATGTTTATAAATCACTGAATGCAAGTGTTACCAAGTTATTACTGCTTGTGAAATTTCCTGGTACATATGTTTTCAATGACAGTGTTTGATTCACCTGCAATGAATGTTTGGTATAAATCACATTCCCTGCTTTAGAGATATACCCCATACGTGTTGTCTTTTTTTTGGTTTTCAATAGAATAGGGAAATGTAAAAACTCCTGTTAGCCTATTTTTTGTGCTCTGTGTTCAAGTGAGGAGATATCACTTCACTTCATGTCCCAGGGATGTAACAGGAAGTAAACGTAAATCTCTCTAGTAAAGGAAATTCCCCTTTAAGACAGTTATCACTGGAACAGTTGCCAGATTTAAAGATTTACAGTACCCTCAGCTTCTCTTCCTGTGACACCTCAAACATTTTGGATTTCCTGTCACTTTCCATTTCGGAGACAATGGTCAACAGGAGCAATAGTGAGTGGATAGGGCTGCTTAGCAGACCAGTCAGCTGACAAACTCCAGGTGGTGGCACCTATTCTTTGGATATTAGTGTGTGCATGCTGGTTTCAATGTTCCCTGTGTCCGGAGGGAGGAAACTTTGGGTTGACATAATATTTTGGCAGAGGCACGATGGACAGTAATACCATGCCGCCCTCATCATTGTACCCTCTGCACAACGTCCATTACTCTGCACATCAGTTTTGGATAAGGGTAGACAAACCTAAGAATTCTCAATTCTCTACAATTTTAGAGATAATCAGGAAATTTTGGCAAATGTTTGCCCTTTTAGATGGATCTGCGCATGTGGCTTGAAAAGGCTCCTCAATTACATTATTTTATATCTGTTTTTTTATTCACAGAAATGAAACACAGACAGCAAACAAAATGTAAAATTTGCAATTAAAGTTACAGTGCACAAATAATCAAATGCACAAAAATTGGAAATGACAAATACAAAAAACCTGCCTTGGTCAAATAACTGAAATGACCAGTTGAAGATCTCGGGGAGTTTGGAGTCAGCAGGTTTGTTCCTCCCAATGAAAGTTTTCACGTCAGCTTTCTTGGATTCACTGCCTGGAACCTTCACACAGTAGTCCAGAACGCCGCTTGATCGCATGATCTGTGTGTACCCGTCTTCGCAGCCACACACTCCGCTCTATAGGGGGTAAGACGGACAACATCAGCTGACGATCTCAACAAGCAAAACCTGTCGTAGAGGAACGGTCTGTGCTGCCCAGAAACCAAACAGAATCCAGCTGGTATTTCTCAAGTGTAGGTTAGGAAATGATAGGAATTATTTCACTGCCCTGCAATTTTTTTATTGAATGAATCAACAATGTAACAAAAACAACTCAAAAAGGTTCCAGTCAGTCCAAAAACACCAATCAAATTTCTACAGGGCATACATCTTTTCAGTACTGTGTACATTGTGTAATTATATACACAATATGGCCAAAGTTTGTGGACCCCTGACCCTCACACCTGTATGAATTTATTGAAAATCCCATTGGCCTTAATAATAAGGCCAATAAAGATGCCTCCCTCCCTTTGTGCCTGTAACAGCCTCCACTCTCCTTTCTAGGCTTTTCACAAAATGTTGGAGCGTGCCTGTGGAAATGTTTTATCTATTCAGCCAAAAGAACATTTGTAAGTTCAGCTACTGATGTTGGATGAGAAGACCTCATGGCTCGCAATTGATGTTCCAGTTCATCCCAAAGGTGTCCAGTAGGACTAAAGGCAGGGCACAGTGCAGAACACTCAAGTTCCTCAACATCAAACTCATCAAACCATGTCTTTATGGAACTGGCTTCATACACTCATGATGGGACAAAAAAAATTATTGCTACAAGGTTGGAAGCACACAGTTGTCTATAATGTCTTTGTGTGCTGTAGAACTAACGGTAGCCTTCACTGGAACTCAATAATCTGGATGGGTAACCACATACTTTTGGCCATATAGTGTTTGTACAAGGGGCAGCCACATACATGATGTGCTTTAAATAGAACAGTAATCCTGCACTGCTGTACGTCCCATCTCATTACAATTCCATTTATTACAGTGTCCCCGTCCACATAGCAGTGAAAAGTTGAGCGTGAGCCAAGACAAAGTGAATACACAGACTGCTAGATGGTAGGAACTAGCATTCATCCAAAATCCTCCAGGACATTTCTAGTAAGCATACAAGTGTGATACTTTCTTCCAATAATTGAATTACTTGTCTGATGACAATGCAGTCCCTAGGTGCCTTGTCCTGCAAATTGTTTTTATCTTGGCAACCGTTCAGCATGATGCTTATAATATGCTTTTGTCTAAAAATTCTAATGGCTATAGTGAATGCTAGCAGATAGCTAGGGAAGCAAAGGAATTGAGGCATGTGAATATACCTTTTTCATCCATTTTTATAGCTATCTGCCTATAGCTTAGTGGTTAGTATGTCTGTCTTGGGGCACTGAGGCCCTTGCATCGAATCCCAGCCAGCATGTGATCTGCATGGAGTTTGCATGTTCTCCCTGTGCTTGTGTGGGTTTCCTCCTGCATGCCAAAGACATGCTGGAAGGTTAACTGTCTGCTGTCTAAATTGGCTCTAGACTGTGAGAAAGGAACCTTAGATGCCTTGAGGGCAGGGACTGATTTTAATGTACAGTATGTATAGTGCTCCATAAACTGATGTATGTATGTATGTATATACTGTATAAATATACTGTATATATATATTTGTTGCAGCATGTCCTTTCCAAACTGATCCCTGAATGGGAGGGTTTGGATTCATTATAATGAGCTGGCGGCATCTTTAGGGTCACAGGAGGACATATACTAACCTCCTCCCGTGACCCAAAGCTCAGTATATAGCAGGCTATTGCCCACTGTATACTGAGAGTACCGCTGCCAGTATCCACCCAGCTGGCTAACTGACAGCGGCCTCTGCCTTTCTAGAGGCCGAGCCAGCTGGGCCTGCCCCCTCCCTTGTCAATTCCTCCGTTGACCGTTCAGTCAGCGCTGGAGTATCGGAGGGGGGATCCCTGCAGGGTGCGGTGACTGACAGTCACGGCTCTCTGCAGGGAGATGATCGGGAAGTGACTAAGCGACGGTATGTGTTTGCTCACTTCCCGATCAATAAAGCCGACGTGTGACCGTTTCAATGTCACATGTCGGCTCTAACCATGAGGATGAGTGTAAATCACTTTAAGGAGTATCTCACCAAAAATTAAAATCCTAAATTAAATAAATTCCTTAAATTCAGTCAGCCAATCACAGAAGCAGGACATGACATTCCTGGGGGTGTTCCGTTACTCCAACTGTGTACGTAACGCCTCCCAGGTATCAATTGAATGTTTTGTTTTATAGATTTAGAACATTACAGCAGCTACAGTTTTAAATGGAAAGGTCATTTTTAATAACATTAAATTACAATATGGCTTGTGTGACAATTTTATATTTGCAATGTACTCGATCGACACGTGTCTTTTTTTTGACCTGACTAACTATGTAACTGCATTAATTTTTTAAAGATTTTATTTTTATATTTTTAAAGTGGAGCTACACTTTGAAGGAAACCTGTACAGAGATAAAAAAAATAATAATTTCAATGTAACAAAATGTCCTCTAGGTGGTAGCATATCCCTTCCAACTAAACACTGAGCAACCCTACATTGTATGGCTGGTACTAGGATAATCCATCTGAGCGTGTGCTGATTCTATAATGTGAGCTTATAAGTAGGTTACCTGCATACAGTAAGAAAATGGTTTTCTGCATGGCGGGTCGCAGTGCCGAACTGCAGCGGGTCGGGAGTTTGGAGAACAGCCACCTAGGAGGAGAAAATATCAATCTGATCAATTATGAAATCACTTTCTTTCTGCCTCTCCTTTTGAACAGCCTGGAGTCCGGCTGAGTTTTTGTTTCGTTGTCTTGCTGTCGGTAGGGGGTCTAGATGGAGTGGTAGTGGCGAAATCGATAAACCTTCCATTATATGGCGCGCTATACAGTTTCGGGCAGTATTTTGCTTCCACAGTGATAATCATACTAATAACGTGGGAAAGCGTAAAAGAACGACTTCAATATAATACGTCACCATTCATGTATTCCTTCAATAGTCATGCATTCTATTTTACCCTATTCAGCCACAGTAATTACCTGAAGCCCACCTTTATATTCCCGGATTAAAAATCAACTCCAGGGCAGGAAGACACAAAAATAAAAATGATTGTAGCTCTGTATTCATAAATACATCACAAAATGGTTATTATTTTAGATACAAACAGTATAAGAACCTGGATTTGACATGCTATCAGCTTCTTGCAGTCTCCCATACGGCAGAGTTCAGACTAGATAAGGCAGAAGCAGCACCAGGCGAGCGCAGAGTGTAAGGCAGATGAGCTCATCAGTCTGCTGCTTCCCCTTTTGTGACTGTCCTCTTGTGCTTCTTCTTTTGTGACTGCCCAGTCACTGGCTGGGGGAGGGACAAGACCTGTCAATGTTACTTAACCGTAGCAGAGAAAAATCAGGTCTCCTCCCCTGACAGGTAGAGCAGTGCTGTGTGGCAGAGCACTGTCAATCTCAGGACTGGATAGGTAGATATGCAAATGCTTTGGCAGGTATAACAGCTCACATTTTTGTATTTTATATGTGTATTTTATCATTTTGCTGGAGTCCGGCTTTAAAGCTGAAACTGGGCAGTGGCCAGAGTGGAGGTGGCCAGTGTCCTAAATGAACCCCTTCCTGTCCGGCCGTTGTAATTAAACAGCCAGACAGGTCACTCTTGAATGCAAGTGGGCGTTTTTAAATGTCCTCTACTGCTCCAGTGCTGCCCCGCCTGCGCACAAGCGGGAAACCACAAGCATTTTACACAGCCTGCAATGGCTGTTTACATACAAGCGCTTGGGCGGCTGTAGAGCAGTGGCGTCACAAGGGGGATGCGGTGGGTTCGGCCCCCACCCGGGTGTCAACCCCCCCTCTATAAAGTCCGAACGTCCGATAGTATCAGTAGAGAGGAGGGGACCCGGCGGCATACCTTATCCTGCCGGGTGACAGTCCCCTCCTCTCTCTGCCGGCGTCCATCACCAGGATGGCCGCCGACAGGAATCAGAAGATCGCCGGGTGTCATCCAGCCTCGGGACGCCCCTGCTGTAGAGCCGCCGGATCGCTTGTATGTGGCATGGGAGTGTGCGCACCCCCCTTTGTCACCGGCTATCCCAGGCTCTGCTGTCCCCCGTGTGTGTCTGAGACCGGCACGATGGGTCTGTACTCTTAGATCGAAAGGGGATCTCCGAGCGGCCGATCTTCACTCCTATCACTGGACCGGAAGTGATGTGTATTACATCACTTCCAGTGTCACTCTATCATTTCTACGGCTCCAGGAGAAATGATAGAGCTGCTTCATAAGCTTCTCTGGGGTCCCTTGGTGACATTAGCGGTTTAATTGACCAGCGATCCCCAACCTTTTTGGCACCAGGGACACGGTTTAGTGGAATACATTTTTCCACATGGGGGGGAGGGGGAGGGGCAGTGATTAGAGTGCTGCAGATAACATAACACTGGACAGACGGGGAGTCCAGGCCACTGTGGGTATAATATGAAGGGAGGGCATTTTGTAACACTAAACTGATGAGCGGTAAATGTTTTTAAAGCGTCACCTATGGTCAATTTGGTGTATGGTAGTTTTCTGCGAACTGGATGACACACACAATTTTAAGGCTTGACATGTTTGGTGTCTAATTACCCAATGTGACCCCATATTTTATATGTTACCAAAAAACTGGGTAATAATACATTTCTCATAAAAATAATGTAGGGAAAACTGTTTTTTTTTTTCTTTTTCATTTGTTTTTCTTTATATAGTAAAAAATAAAACCCCCCCAGTGATGATTAAATACCACCAAAATAAATCTCTATGTGTCCCCAAAAAATAATAAAGAATTCATTTCAGTGAATTCTTCAGTTGTATGTCTGAAAAAGTGTCAGTCAAAATACCTTAGCGTTGAATACTGAAAAATGGCCGGGACAGGAAGGGGGTTTAACACCCGGGTCATCAAGTGGTTAATAGATTGGAAATGGTCATACTTAGGTATGCTTACAGGTAGGAGAGACCTCAGCAGGGACATTGCTAGATTATGACCCCCAAGGCATGTACCCCAGGTCTTCTACTGTGTGTAGAGCAATGACATGCTGCTTTGCATATAGGCGTGGGTGAAACACTTTACAAAACGTATGACAGGTACGTCAGGTCCTGTATAGTTGTTTTTCAGCTGCGTATTTCTTTGCTTGGCTGCAGTTACATGTAAATATATTCTTCTGCTATACCTTGCATATGATGGGCATTAAAGCACACACAGACTGGAAATAAAAATTGGATAAATAGGCCGTCAAACCTGCTGACTGTCAAGGAAAGCCTCTTGCTGAATACATTACTGCATTTCCATTACCATAATTAAAGTAAAGCTGTCACGAAGCCGGGCACAGGGTTTTGGCATCCTCACATATGTAACATACAAGAGATACGGTGCGTGATTTTAGCGACTTGTGACAGGTTGACTACCTATCAGACACAACAGGTTTGCTTTTATCATTGCAAATGTCAAACTCAGCCCAGTTACTGAGCATCACGTATCAACAGAAAAATCTTATTTTCGCTCTAAATAAAAGTTGTTCCAGTTGAACGTGAATCTTCCACAAAACTTTAGACATTGTTAAAACGCTGACTGTTTCCTGATCTTTGGTTTGTATGGGGTCACACTGCATGGGCAGACCTCACACACTTTTCAAGCCAACCTGTCAGCCGTCATGTCCTTTAAAAAAGTGTGAGTTCCCCATGTGGTGGCCGCTGTTATCTTTATCAACCAGAAAAGCCTTCTCTCATTCTGGGCACACTGCCACCAAGTGCTCTGGCTTTTCCAGTTTTAAATAAACTTGTCGGAAATCTGGAAAATTCAAGCTGAGCGCACAAGGAATATGCATAAGAAGAGGTGACTTTCAGTATACAATCTCACGCCAGAATGATCCGTGAATTCAGAGGAAACAGCAACTAAAGTTATTTACAAATCTTGTGTTTCCTGTAAAAGTCAAGCTTGGTCCCGCCCCTTACCACTTTCCAAACCTCTTGATTGCTCATTGTGTGTCCCTACCAATTAGGGGAGGTGTGAATGAACAGCTTAAAGTTTTCTAGTAATCATAATTCATTAAATCAGTTCTCTGATTCTACACAAAAAATAAATGACTACTACTAAATTCTACACAATTTAAATTAGTTTTCTCCGCAGAAGAGTGGAGAAATAATACATTGTTGGCAACTTTGAAAAGGTGGACTAATACTTTATCGGTTCGCACCTGTGACATTTGTTCCATCGGATCGCTGACACCACACCGTTCTCTTATTATCCTTCCAGGGACTCATTTTCCACAAATATCGGAAACACTTGCCTCCTGTAGGTAAGCACACAAACAACACCAGTTAAAAAATCGCATTATTCCTCAGTGTATTAAACTCATTATACTCACAGTCTGCTTTAGCCAAGACAGAATCTCTGCTGTAGGCAGCTAATTATACGTAATAGATGAGATTGGCACATTTAGTCCCATGCACGGTATCGCTGAAGCTGCGGCACGAGAGGGAGACGTGGGCAAAGGATATTGAGATTTTTTGGAAGCAAATTCTGCTTAACTACACTTCTAATGAGGATCCAGTTCCCTGGGAATATTAATGGTAACCAAGTTATGGCCGCTGAATAACTATAATCTTTTCCAGCAGTGTTTTTAGATATGAAATTCATACCGCCGACTTACGAATCTCAGCTTTGTGTAATCCTGCCAAATGCGCCTTTGTGAAAACTGGAGAAATAATTGTCTTGGTGTGTCTGCTAGATAAAGCCTTATAATTTGAGGAAGCTGAACCCCCCCCCAGGGAAAAAAAATATCTACGGCCCTGAGTACATGTAAACTCTAAATTAATTTAGTTTGGTAAACCACTGTGTATCAGAAACAATTGGCATCTTTTATTTCCATGTAAAATACAGTTTTCAGCTTTCTTTTATCTTTTGCTAAATATAGGAACACTGTCACCCTAAAAAATGAAGATCATGGACCGTTATGTCAGGATCCCCAGATATTATTTTAATGAAAGCTGAAGGTTTAAGCGTATTAAAGATGAACTTTTGAAATGACCTTAGTAAAACCTATTAGGATATTAGTAATTAGGAGTATGTATGTTTTAACAGAGCAGTTAATAAGGTCCCCAGACAGAAAACCTTCCAGAACTTTGGGTTTGTCCACTGACAGCATCTCACACATCCAGATCTTTTCCTGTGCTTCTCCCTAACTTATTAGGCGTCTGCCTACCCACCAGCTATTAAGCTTCTGCCTACCCACCAGCTCATTAGGCACACCATCAAAGCCCATCTTTCTATAAAATTTATTTTAGAGTATGGAGATAGGAGGGCCTGGTACAAACGATCAGGCAGCTTGATTGCCATGAATAATTTATTGCATAAAATACAGCTAACGTGATTTGGGGAAGGACCTCCCCCTTCTTTAGGGCTTAAAGTGACATTAAACCCTCAGATTTTTTAACATAAACCAATACTGTAATGTGTGCCTTACTGTAATCCATGGTTGTTTCCCTTCTCTTTGCTGCTCTTCCTTTTAAATCTGTATCTGTTCTCATGCTGGGCAGAACTTCTGTTTTGCAGCAGACTGCCTTGTCTCTGGAATGGATACACAGGGGTTGATTTACTAACCTTATATACACGCCACGAACAAGTATACACCTCTGTAGTGTGTTCCCTCCCAGCATGATCTATTGGTGGAATCTAAACACCTTTGTAGAGTGTACACACCCAGCAGGTGTGTTGTGCAAAGCCCTGCATGAATTGCATGGTGATGTTGTGTAAATTAGCTCTACATTGTGTTGCTTGCGTTGATGAATGCAGGAATGTAAATGCATGAGCTAACCATTTTTGTCTAAACTGTGAAGCAGCATTATATATGCATCATGTGCATGATTTTTCCATATATGGCATTAGTGGAAATATGCTTTTAGAGACTTTTTGGTTGATAAATACGTTTTGCTGTGTAAAAATCACACGCACCTAGTGCGTGCGTGTGTTTAGGTTAGTAAATCACCCCCATGGTGTCTGTGTGTAGGTTTGCAACCTGAGCCAGCACTACAGGAAGGGGCACTCAGCTGCAAAGGGAAGTTCTCCCCAAGCATGAGAAGACATGATGATTTAAAAGGAAGAGCAGCAAAGAGAAGGGAAACTACCATGGATTACAGTAAGGC